GAAAGCTCTCTTCAATATCTACGCATAGACACCAAGATCGCATAAATCCGACATTGGAGCAAAAAGTTATGAACAAATCTGTCAAGCATGTTCGAGTTGAAGAGTCGACACGGACCGTGTTGAATTCGACACGGCCGTGTTGTGTCCGTGCTGAAAAAAGTGAAGTTTTGCTCATAGAATTGACAGGACCGTGTTGTCATTCGACACGGCCGTGTTGATTCAAACTCGCCTGTGTTCAGTCCATGTCCAAAGTGCAGATTTTTAACAGAGAATTGACACGGACCGTGTTGCATTCGACACGGCCGTGTTGCATTACGGGAAAACTTCCTATTTTGCATCCGGACTTCCGTTTTCAGCAAAGGAAGAAACCGAGCCGCCAAGCCAATAAAGAGAGGACGTCTTAGACTTCAGAAATCATCGAGAGATCACAACAGAAGCCAGACAACTCGAGAGAGAATCAAGATGGAGTTTCTGGAAGCAGAGATTGAAGAACCGTCTCCGAGAGATCGCTGCGAGTTTCTTCTCTATCTGTTTTCCATGTTTCTCTTTATTGATTTGAACTCGTTCGTTGTTATGGGTAGTGAGTAGTCGTTTCACTGTAGCTAGGGATTTAACCTTGTAGGGATTTGTTTGGTTTTTTATTTTCCGAGACTACGTTATCGATACTCGTCGGTTTGATTGAATTGAGTTTATTTCTTTTTATCTTCTTGGCCAGTTGATTGATTGATCTTAGATTCTGATTGACAACGAAAGTTGGAATTAGATTCGGAAAGAATTCATTGAATGAATTGATTAAGACTATTGAAAGATAGGTTAATCGGTTTAGGAACTGTGATAGTGATCGTTACTGCATTTGATATTTTAATCTATTAGGTTGAGAGATCGATAGGTTAAATTATTGGATAGTGGATTTAGGACTTGAGAGAGCCAAATCTGATATTAAAACTTGAGATCCCCGATTAGAGTTCGATATTCGTAGATTCTCCATCCTTAGAAACAATCCCTATGTACAGTGGTTTAGTTATCTGATTTTACTTAGTTGATTTATTGTTTTATTTCTGATATTCACATACTTCATTCCATATTTCCTGGTCTAATTCTTGGTCGAGTCTTGTTCCTAGAGTTAACTATTCCCTGTGTTCGACCCTAGTACTACAGTTAATCCGTATCCTTGCGGTATTCGTTGTATCTAGGTTTTTATCACTTGAGCATTATTTCTATACCTAGATTTGCATTATCAGTTCCTTTGCTCCTAGGATTCAGGTCCCGAAAGGATTTTTTCCTTATCAGGTTTTTTTGCACCCATGCCCCCCAAAGAGAACCTCCATTTGTAAATGATAACCAGATTAGTTTTGAGCCCCAAAGTTGTGTTCCAGTCGTTGATCCTCTTGAGTCCCAACCCACTTGCAGCCTTAGAAGTGAAAATTGTATGCCATGCCACCTTCATCCCTTTAGTAGAATCAGGAGCACCTGTCCATAAGAATGCAACACACATTCAATATCGTTGATTGTGTAGGCTCATACATACACAGCCTTCGAATCTCTCTCATTCGGATATGTTTGATTCATCCTCATGTCCCTCCTAACTAGAAGTCTATCAGAGCCGTTTCTTTCCATACATCATACTCCGCCGATCACTCTAGGTCCTCATCAATAACTGGGATATCACATGCCCACCAACTTCCATCTGTTTCGTCTTCGAACTACACCGTATTTGAAGAGTGTGGGCTCTAATACAATTTGTAACGCCCCGTGAATGTTACACACGTTGAAACTACCTTCACTGCCTAACATGAGATCTTTCAGTGTGATTTGTCTTCAATCGCACACTTTCAAAGAAGTACTTCCTAGGGGATTACGCACCATAAGATTATTCCAAGTCTAACACACTTAACTTTGAAGTTTTCTTTAGATAGACAAAAAAATGGTGAACGCATCTTGTTGTTATGAGTAGTTCAATCAATTCTTTTAAATTATCGTCGATTGTGTCATCACAAACATATATTGTCCTCGGATCCCTCTTATCTCGATGCATTCGATTCGTCCACATATTCCTCCTACCTAGAGGGCTACTAGGAGTCGCTTCTCATCCTTTCTGTTGGTTATCATTCTCCACCCTTATCAGTAACTGAGATGTCATAGTGGAGCTCCAATAAATAGGAGATAGTCACTCAATCAATTGTTGAATCAAAGTTTATTGCAGCTACAACCTCTGCAGACCATGCTATATGCTCAGAAGTTGTTGTTTGATCTAAAAATGGGTTCGAAAGATTAAACTGAGATAATGGTTAATAATAGTTATGATATTGTTACACATACACACATACATACAATCACACACATGTATATATGTATGTCTATTATATTTGTGTATGTGCATACATGTATGTATGTTTATATGTGTATATGATCCATATGTATATGATTTTATTTTTGTTTTAGGGAAGATGACATTTTTCTACAGGAATTTAGGTAAAATGTGATCGTTTCATACAAGTATTTTTAATTTGACAAAAAAACTACATTTGAATTCAAAAATTTTCAAAAGTCTACACCAATTGTTAAAATTAACAATAATTATATACATAATCATCATTTTCGTTAAAAAATTTCGGATTCTCTTAACTAATGCATTATTTAGGTAATTGATATAACTACCACACACATTAGCACATTATTAATAGAATCCAAAAACTTTTTAATGAAAATGATGATTATGTATGTAACTACTGTTCGTTTCGTTTTAACAATTTGTGTAGATATTTGGAAAATTTTGAATTCAAGTGTATTTTTTGTCAAATTAAAAATACGTATATGAAAAGATCACATTTACCTAGATTCGTGTAGAAAAATGATATTTTCTATTTATTTTATTGTTTTAATATGTTTTCAATTTTTATTTTGTAATATTACGTGAAAGAAATTTGTGGTGTGGCAGACCATGTCAAGCACCACATCATACATTGTTAACAGTGTTTAGGGTTCGGATAGAATTTGACAAAATTTTAATAGTTGAGCTTTTATATGAAAGTTTGTTAAAAGTTAAGTTTGTATTTAGAAGTTTGTTTCAAGTTCATATTTATTGTTGTGAATTAAAAAATTAACATTTAATTTGAAAGTTTTGGTAAAATTGAGTATTTTTCTTGGGATTCTTTGTTATTATTAGGAGAAATCCAAAAAAAAAACACACAACTTTCAAATTTTGATAGAAAAAAATATTAAATTTTTTATTTGATCAAATAAACATTAAACTTTTTAAGGTTGACAAAATAAACAAATAACTCTTCTACGACTGTCGAAATAAATAAAATGATTGATATGGCACAAGGAGATGCAAACACGTCAGATTATTTTACTTAGTTTTTTTTAACAATCAAAAAAATTTTAATGTTTATTTGATAAAATAAAAAATTTAATGTTTTATTTTTCAAAAATAAAAGTTCAGTATTTTGTTTTGAGATTTTCCCTAATAATAATAATAATAATAATAATAATGATAACGGAAAATTAAAAAAAATACTGAACTTTTCTATTTTGACAAAAAAACACTAAACTTTATTTTTTGTCAAATAAATATTAAACTTTTTAAACGAATCTAAAAAACACTGAACTTTTTAACGACGTTTGTAGCGATCATATTTTTACAAAAATTTAAAAAAATGAGTATTTTTGTCAAATTTTGAAAGTTTAATATGAATTTGGAAATAGAAAGGTTTAATATGATTCTAATAGTTTTAAAAGTTCGATGATTTTATTTCGAGATTTTCTATTTCCTTTATAATCCTAAACACTAAAATAACCTTCTCCTAATTTTGTGAACCTTTGCCACATTTTTTTGTATTGTTATGTTTTAGGGTCATCTGCATTGTTCTCTTAATCTCCAATCCTTGAATAATTTTCTTCTGGTTGTTTCTTGAATGTTCAGACTTCTAGATTAGAATTGTGTCCTTGTAATCACAGGCTACACCATGTGTTTGCAAAAAGCATAGAAAGTAGAGAATATGAATACCAAAACTATATTTTGAGATGTAAATTCCAAAATTTGCATGCAAAATGTAGAAGTTAGGCTAAAATATTGTAAAGCTAACACATTATCAACTTCATAAAATCAACACTCTCATTCCATCAATAATAATGAAATACATGGAGCCCACAAACAAGAAAATTACATGGTTATTCAATGCATCAAAATGAAGGATACCAAAGATGAATAACAACAAAGCACATAGACTTCTTACATTCAAAATGTCAAAGATAGTCATATAAAGACTAACAAATTGGTAATTCAACCAATCAAATTTATAATTCATAGAAATTAAGAGGGATTCGAAGAATAGAACTTCAATGAAATCTCATCGATCAAATATTAATGGCATTCAGTGGACTTTAGTAGTACGAAGGTGTAGGAGATTTGTACTCAGCCTTTGGAGAAGGAGAGTAATATGGTGGTGGAGGTGGAGATGTGTAGACGTATGGGGGTGGAGGAGACTTGTACTCGGCTTTAGGGGCTGGTGAATAGTAAGGTGGAGGTGGTGGAGAAGTGTATACATATGGTGGAGGAGGAGATTTGTACTCAATCTTTGGAGATGGTGAGTAATACGGTGAAAGAGGTGGAGAGCTATACTTGTATGGATGTGGATGAGATTTGTACTCTGCCTTGGGAGAAGGAGAATAATACGGTGGTGGAGGGGGAGGTTTGTATACATCTGATGGTGGAGACTTATATATAATTTTCGGAGATGGAGAGTAACACGGTGGAGGTGGGGGACAAACACAAACGTGTGGATATGATGGCGACTTATAGTGGACTTTTGGGGAAGGAGAATAATATGGTGGTGGAGGGGGAGAATTGTAGACGTATGGGGGTGGAGGAGACTTGTACTCAACCTTGGGCGAAGGGGAGTAGTATGGCGGTGGTGGGGGAGAATTGTAGACGTATGGGGGTGGAGGAGACTTGTACTCAACCTTGGGCGAAGGTGAGTAGTATGGCGGGGGTGGAGGAGATTTGTAGACGTATGGCGATGGTGGAGACTTGTACTCAACCTTGGGTGAAGGTGAGTTGTAAGGCGGTGGTGGAGATTTGTAGACATATGGTGGTGGTGGAGACTTGTACTCAACCTTGGGTGAAGGTGAGTAGTAAGATGGTGGTGGTGGAGATTTGTAAACGTATGGGGGTGGTGAAGACTTGTACTCCACCTTGGGTGAAGGTGAGTTGTAAGGCGGAGGTGGTGGAGAACTATAAACATACGGGGGTGGTGAAGACTTGTACTCAACCTTGGGCGAAGGTGAGTAGTAAGGTGGTGGTGGTGGAGAACTATAGACGTATGGGGGTGGAGGAGACTTGTACTCTACCTTTGGAGAAGGTGAGTAGTAAGGCGGTGGTGGAGATTGGTAGACATATGGTGGTGGTGGAGACTTGTAATCAACCTTGGGTGAAGGTGAGTAGTAAGATGGTGGTGGTGGAGAACTGTAAACGTACGGGGGTGGTGAAGACTTGTACTCAACCTTGGGTGAAGGTGAGTAGTAAGGCGGTGGTGGTGGAGAACTGTAAACGTATGGTGGTGGAGGAGACTTATACTCGACCTTTGGCGATGGTGAGTAGTACGGCGGTGGTGGAGGAGATTTATAGATATATGGTGGTGGTGGAGACTTGTACTCAACCTTGGGGGAAGGTGAGTAGTAAGGTGGCGGTGGGGGTGAATTGTAAACGTATGGGGGTGGTGGAGATTTGTACTCAACCTTGGGTGAAGGTGAGTAGTAAGGCGGTGGTGGTGGAGAACTGTAAGCGTAAGGAGGTGGAGGAGATTCATAACTTTCCTTGGGCGAAGGTGAGTATTCGGGTGGTGGTGGAGAAGAATAAGTGTATGGATCAGAGGCTGCGATGGTTGCAGCCATGACAGTAAAGGCAAGAGCATAAACGAGAAGGGGCGATCTCCCCATCCTAGGGGAAGAAGCCATTGCTTTGTTTCTTTTTGTGTTTTGTGTTGTGATTTAGAGACTTGTGTTAGTATTGGCCTTATATATATAGCCATCGGTTAGACCCTTTTCAATCCAATTTGGTGGATTTGTTGCCTTCAACTAAGTAGACGTGAGAGCATGTTCGAGAACATTATTGCTAACACGTTGGGGTACGAAGTCGTGGGAGGAATGCGCTTCAAATGTCAACGTGACAATTTGCATTTTGTCTTCTTTAACTTTGCATGGTATAAAATGGAATTAGTTTCTTGATTATATTTGTGTTTGATATTCGTTTTAGGTTTACTTAAAATCTAACCCAATCAATTATATGTAAATAAATGATTAAAATCTGATATCAATATTGAGCACAAAGTGTTCTCCACGTTCACGGTTCGAACCCCATGCTAGCATTCACCTATATAAAAAAAAATATCGATTGTATATTATTTTTTAATATCAAATTAATTGAAATGTGAAATCTTACTTGTTTAGATTAGAATATAAATAAATTACAAAAATGTATTTCTAAAAAGTATTTGTATTAATAAAAAATTGAGTTTGAATTGAGCGTAATTCAAATAAAAAATAGACCTAGAAAACTGAATGGAGTTAATTTTTGAAAAATGATATCCAAAAATAATTTCTCGATACATAATCAAAATTTTTTTGACGATTCTCCCTTTTTTCTATTGATAGTTAAGAGGGCAAAGAACATAAATGTTATAGGCTTGAAATGCGTATTCAGGACGAAACAGAATAATGATGGATCAATGAACAAACTCAAAGCTCGTCTAGGTTTTTTTAGTAACCGGATGTCCTGAATCGAAGCTCAGACTAATATTATGTTAGATAAATGGATATGAAAAGAATGAGAACCAGATAACTCTTCTAGGCGAGATGATCACTTTCCGAAAACGTTATTTCGTCCCAAATGAGCAAACGAGATACCGAAACACGTTTCTGAGATACAAAGAAGAGACAGTGATATTGTTTTGCTCTACAACAATCACCAAGACAAGAAACTCGTGAAGAAGAAGATGAACACACACACTTTTTTATTGATTTGCAAGAACAATCAAAAAGTTCACTCAAAATCTCTCAAATTTTGATTAGATTTTGTCCTCGACTTATTCTGACGTCTTTTGTATATAAAATACTAAAGAACATAACCAAAAGTTGCAAAATCTGCAGTTTTCACGCGAAGAATCGCATCAGTTTGTGTTTCTGCAAAGTGACTCGGACCGAGTTACAACTGACTCGGGTCGAGTTACCACTGACGCGGTCCGAGTTACTTCTGACTCGGGCTGAGTCAAGTTCCTGTTAAAACACGACTTTCTCCCAGACTTCTTACGTGGTCTGAGTTAGAACTGACTCGGACCGAGGTACCCCTGACGCGGTCCGAGTTACATCTGACTCGGATCGAGTCAAATCTCTGTGCAAAATGAAATTTTCTCTGTTAAAGTTACACAGACCGAGTTACTTCCAACAGGGACTGAGTTACATCTATGTTTTCGTTTTAGTCAGGAAGACTGAGTAATACCTCACTCGGGTTGAGGTATACCTCACTCACGAACCGAACTGATTTACTGCCAAAACAAACATATGTTTTATTGATTCACATTATATCATTTACGAATATTTAACTTCACCATATTCGTAATACATATAATTATGAATCTCTAGAGAGATTATTCTTGCCAACAATTTACTCTAAAATATTCAACAATTCTCCACCATTTTAGAGTAAAATATCAATGGCACAACAAGTGAAAAGTTTTTCATCTTCGCAATTTTGTGCATAAGCGAATAGTATCTTTACGATTGAACTTCCACATAGTGAATTGTACAATAATAATCTCGAATTACATAGGTGTCTTTACAGATTGAACCATGTAATCCTAGTTGAGCTACCGTGTACAAAACACACACAAAATCAAAAACAAGTTTCCTGTGTTCATTGACACTATAACGGCCATGTGTCCATATCCATTCATAAGCACATGGATGTCGAGCCAAAGACAGCTTAAAGCGGCCAAACCTCGTGCTTGTATAGGTGGATCCTTTAAGAGAATCGTGCCCTGCAACAAAACACTTTGTCAAATGATCCATTAAGTAAAACAACCTCTTTAACATTGCATTACCTAGGTGCTTACCTTGGGATGAATTTATTTCACAGCACCTACAATCACATACTATAGGATTTAACTCATTGAACTCAAGATCTGACGTTGAGTTGAGATTCCTTGAGTTGTGATTCATTCGACAAGTTCAAGTCCCATCCCTAATGACATTTTGTGCACCACATCCCTTGGCAAACTCTTAGTCAAAGCATCAGCCAAATTTTGTTTGGTACGCACAAAATCCACCATTATGGCCCAGTCTTTTATCAGACCATTCACATAGCTATGTCGTAAACCAATATGTCTAGACTTCCCGTTATATACATGGCTATATGCCTTAGCCAACGTTGATGCGCTATCGTAGTGAATTGCAATAGGCGAAACCGGTTTAGGCCACAATGGTATTTCAAATACCAAATTCCTTAGCCATTCTGCTTCTTTTCCCGCAGAAGCTAAGGCAATGAATTCCGACGTCATTGTCGAATACGAAATGCAAGTTTGTTTCTTAGAAGCCCAAGAAATTGTAGCTCCACCTAGTAGGTTGTAATACCCCGAAACCCGATTCGAATATTTAATTATTTAGAAAAAAATAATTAAATAGAGATGTCAGGAAATCACCAAAAATGAATAGTACAATGCCGGGGAGAGGTACGAGGATCGTCACGTGCGGAAAGGATCAACAAAAAAAAAGAAAAAAAATATAAAGGTTGGTCCGCCGGACCAGGACTTGGTCTGGGGCGGACCAACCTGCTCAGTCGGAGTGGGAACGGACGCGCGGACTGGGAGAAGAATTTCAAAAAAAAAAATAAGTAACCCGGTCTGGCGGACCAGCAAGTTGGTCTGGTGGACCGGGAATCGACAGATTACGCAACTTGCACTGTTGCAGTCTTGGGATGCGGTTTTCGCCAGATTCCGGGCCACTTGCTGTTCAGCCGCCTCCCACGCCTCGAGGACGTTGCAGGCTCGCCTATGGGCCTGGGCTTGAGCCCAGCAACTCCCTATCTCGCAGCAAAAACCTCTCCCAACCCTCTGCCTTAGCCATTTTCGGGCTGAAATAGGGGAGAGAGGAAAGAGAGAGAAAGGGAGAGAGAGGAAGCGAACCAGTGCAAGGGGAGCCCGGGGAAACAAAGGGGGGCGTCCCTAGACGTGCCTGAAGGTGTTCACGGTGTGAGGAGGAGCAGAGGACGCACACAAGCTCGGAACAACTCAAGAACAATGTGAGTGGCTTGAGTTGGATTTGTGAGATCTTGTTTTCAATATGTTATGGTGCAAATCGAGATTTCCTTGCGTGTTCGAGGTTTAGAACATGTCTAGGGATGTCAAACTATGTTTTAGTAGCATTTGGAGGCAACCCTAGATCGAAACAGATGAGAAAAATCGAAACATAACCGGAAAATGGCGAGGAAGAAGAAGGTTCCAGTCCCGGTCCGCTGGACCACACGTGGTCAGCTCCGGACCGAGACTAGAACAAATGCACGTGAACTCAGCCGGACCAAAGGGAAGAAAGGCGGACCGAGAGAAAACCACGTCTGGTCCGGGGCTGACCAGTTCTGGTCCGCAAGACCAGACGTGTTTGAAAGGCGCACGCTCCGCCTGACCAAGGAACCAGACCGAGAGAGAGGAAGAGCAGGCTGGTACGGGCTGACCTCGTGGTTTTATATTTTTCAGATCACGAGGATTACGCCTAGCGCATCGGACAATGACGACCTGAGAGAGGCAGCATCATGTACGAGATTTGTATTCTGGACTATGGGACTTGTATTCCCGCATTTTGTACGGTTATATTATGACTATTCGGACATGTGTCATTTTGCGATATTGATCGCGTTGTATTTTCCGCTACTTACTCTGATTTGATTTTAAATGTTTTTGGATTTCTTATTTTGCTTCCGCGATTTATTATTTTATTTTACATCGTCCATGTGGCACAGTCCGTATACTGTACACGGGTTATGGGTGTCACATAGGTACAACCAACCACTCACCGAGGCATGGTCCTCTTCACTAGAGTTCCAACTCGCATCCGTATATCCTTCTAACACTGAAGGTTAACCCGTGTAGGACAAGCCATAACTTATGGTCTTTTTCAAGTACGGAAGTACTCTCCGTACTGCATGCCAATGATATACGGTTGGGTTACTAGTGTACCTACTCAACTTTCCTACAGCGTATGGTATGTCGGGTCGAGTGCTAGTCATAGCATACATCAAACAACCTATGACACTAGCATATTCAAGTTGAGACACTGATTGCCCACTATTTGGTACAATCTTTGCGCTACAATCCATCGGAGTAGAAACTGGAGAGCTATTATAAAGATCAAAACGTTTTAACACTTTCTCAATGTAGTGTGATTGAGATAGCGTTATTGTATCATGATCTCTCCTTATCCTAATACCTAGGATAACATCAGCTACTCCTAAATCTTTCATCGAAAACTTCCAAAAAGCGACGTCCTGCGATTTCATCGCTTCGTCGTACGTCGTAAGATCTCCCTAGATATTATTCACATAAACGAGTTGAGTCATGATTGACTCGTTTGTACCTTCAATGAGGTACATCTGAAAGTCCGGACCAAAGGACTTTTCTTTCCTTATACGTTTACCTCTATGAGGTTCACGTTGTCTGTCCTCTTGATCGTTTGATCGGCCACTTGTACTAGGTACAGCAGGTGGTGGTTTATCTACCAAAGAAAATCGACTTTCGTCGAACAATTAATGCATCTCTCGACTCGATAACCGTCTGAACGGATATGTAGTCGTTTGGTTCTATTACATAGAACCTATAGGCTTTACTACGTAGAGTATAACCTATAAAGATACATTCTATTCCTCTTTCACCCAACATTTTTCTTTTGGGTTCTGGCACTTTCACTATTGGCCTACAACCCCAAATCC